ACGCGGTCAATAGACAGACTCACCAAGCGGTTTGTGGCTGTACAGCTTGTGAAGTTGGCCCAGCCACTTCTCGAACGCCTCTACGTGCTTAGCATCATCAGGAATGTAAGAAGCTGTGCGAAACAACTTCGAACCTTCCAACAGGTGCAGGTCGCGCATGCGCCACTCGAGCTCGGCGTCCACAGCCCGTACAAACTCCAGCGACAGCTCGAAGCACGCTGTCACGTCTCCATCCGTTTCCTGATCTGGAAGTGGTCGCTCGTGCAGGGTATAGACAAAGGAGACGGGAGTGCCGTCAGCGTCAACACCTTCCGCCTTCATCTCCCTCTTGTCCTGCGACTGGTGGTTCTTGATAAAGTCCGGCAGTTGTATTTTTTCCCCGTCTCCGAAGTGGCTACCAGGGTCCTTGATGAAATAGCGGGATTTCAAGCGCAACCTTGTTTGCTGCACGATGTGCGCCACAAGGGTGACGTCGATCTTCATGGGGGCAAGACAAATCGTTAAATATGTATACTACATGCCGGACGCGCATACTTTGAGACCGACACCCTTACCTGCCGTTGCTGGAAGTGCTGGTTGAGGTTGTTGAGTTCCAACAACACGTCTGCAAGGAACCGTAGCAGCCAGTGGAACTTAAACGAGGTGACCACCTCGTACAGCTCCTTCTTGTACTCCTTCAGCACCACAACTGCTGCAGGGAGGACCTCAAGCAGCCGATTCACCGCCTCTCCCCGCGACAGCCAGCGGACGGCGTGAATCCCATGCGCCTCCAAGTTCGTCTGGTAGAATACTTGTTGCAGGTTTTGGAACTTCTGGTAATGCACACTGCTGCGTCCTATGTGCTCGGCGAATGCAAGCACCACATCGTCGACCATGCGTAACTCCGGGACTGCATCCGCAGCATCCCGGGCAGCGAGCGCCTCCCTGCACGAACAAATACATTGGGGGATTCAAGTTAGTAAACAAGGTGGAGGAAAGTCACGCCAATCAAACTGCCCATCAACCACTCACCTATGCGTGATACCGTGAATTGAGGCGAGGTGCGGAATCCTCATTTGCAGCCTCGCCACGACGCCATTGTTCTTCCCAGTCATTACGCTTTCGCTGTTGGTTGAAATGCCAGAAATCTTCTGGAGGTCAATACCGATCCATGTGTGGTATTGCACAATTGCAGAGGTGAGAGAAGCAGCGTCAGCGCGGTCGACTGTGATCAATGTTAAAAACTCGGTAACCACCGTGGTGTTTTTAAAGAATGTGATGTAAATGATGAGATGTTTCCCAAGGATGCGATATGTGCTTTCATCGAGCGTAATCCCCATCCACGGGGATTCCTAAAGGTGAAGGTGCTGAGACTCTTGGAGATATGTTGAGTGGGCTCTCAAACATTCCTTGAATCCATAACTGCCATGCACACACGCGCAACTAATCAGTGTTTAACATAAACATGAAACAGGAAAACAAGTTCAAACAAGAGCATCTAACTCACTCGGTATAATATGCGCCGTATCCGCTGGCTGGAGGAAGGTCAGGTAAGCCCTCCTTAGCCAAAAACCAGCAGAGCGGTACGAACATCGCGATGGTAGCGTCTGTCTTGCAGACGAAGAGTGCGATGTGGAGGCACCGTATGATGTGCTTGGTTGAAGCTTCGGTTGTCTGCCACCTTGTTAGAGTAGCTTGCTTCGCTTTGGCCGCCTCTGCTAATGCTTCGTTCTTCAATGCCTGCTTGTGGGCTCGGGAAGCGGAGTGAGAGCGGATGCTCCCTACCTGCAAGTAACGACCTCCCTCTCCTCTGATCTTGAAGGCAGTGTGTGCGCCAGGATCTCAGTGTTTAACGCAAGTCGCACACTTCAAAGAGGGCCTAACGTTAGACATACGGTTGAGGCGCAGACATGAGAATTTACCAGCCCACTGGGTGTCGAATGTGATTTTAACAACATCGAACTCAGCTTCGGCACTGGCAGTGTGGGAGGCTTCGACTCAGCATTAGCGGCAGGACGGGCTGGTGATGTCGCCTTGCGGGGAGCAGGGGTGCCCCAAAGCGTCTGCTATGTGAACGTTGCACCAACGCGCTGACGTTTCAAGGGCGTGGTGCTAGCTGTTGACGGAGTGGCCACGGTTCCCTTCGACGAGCCTTCGCCACCGCCAGGAACTAGGACCAGCGACGGTTGTGGCTCGAACGCCGACGGTGAATTGGGTGGCTCGAACAGGTAAACCGTTCCCACCATACATTCCGGCGAGGCGTCACACTATGGCAGCGTGATGGGGACGCTGTAGTTGTCGCTAAGGTGGGGTAAAACCCCAAGCACGGACAACCCGTTTCTGGTGCTACCAAGGGGATCTGCCTCTGCAGCAGGCATGCTTAAGAGAAGTCAGCAAGGTGGAAGAGAACGATTAACAAGAAGGGGTCCCTTTGGGATATCAAGAGCCCCAAACAGGCCTCAACGGAGTGATGCCCGCGCTGCGCGGTCATTGCATGGCTGCGACTGCAGCACCACAACGTCTGCCAGCCGTTGCTTGGGACAACACTAAGCTGTGCTGGCGCGTTACTTGACAGAAATGGCAGTGGGTGTTAAGAGAATGAACGAGAATGAATGAACTAGCAAAGAGTTGGGTACCAGTACTAACCCTAATTGGGTTGTACCCCTTATGGGCTACCCCACTATAGCCTACACAGAGTAAGCAATCTAATGTTCTGAAACACCCCCATAGGCAAAGTGGGGGATAACAAGTGGTCACAAGTCCAGTCAAGAAAAGCAAAGCAAGCTCAGGGTGGATCACAAAGTCACCACACAGTCCGAGCACAAGCAAAGGGCCACAAGGCCAGTTCACATGCAGAGTTATATAAAAGAGAACAAACAGTACAGTGATCATACTCTAGCAAGTGTAAGCATGCAGGTATATATATCGATCACAGTACAAGCAGAGTCAAGCAGTGAGCAAGTGAGGCAAAGTAGGCACAAGGCCTAACACAGTAGAGCAGCGCTGATGATCACCAGGCGGAAGTGCCTTGGTGAATATATCAGCAGTGTTGGCCCTAGTGGCCACGTACGCAAGACGAAGCTGGCCAGTGAGGACAACTGGACCCCGTCCTCCAAGCACGAGCCCCATGCCCGACGTACTGCACAAGTAACGCAGTACCCTCTTCGCAGCATCCCAGTGCACCTTTTGGTGCCTACCGAGAGCCACGTAGCGAGCCAGAAGGCTGAGAGGGTACGCGAGGTCAGGTCGTGTGCACGTCATCATGTACATGAGGCAACCCACAAGCTCTGGGTACGGACCACTCGGCTCTACGGACTCGTCCGAAGGTGGAGCTGAGAGCGAGTGGCTGGTAGACAGAGGAGTGGGCTATGGCGAGGAGAACTGGAAGCCGAAGCACGGAAGGACCTGGTGCACTCTGTGTGACTGAGTCAGTGTGATGGTGCGCCGTGCTCTGTCCCGGGTGATCTACCAGCCAAGATAGCTGCGCAGTTCACCCAGGTCAGTGCAGGTGTGTCTCTTCTTCAGCTCCGACTTCACAAGGGTCAGTGCCTCAGTGTCAGCAGTGGCAAAGACGAGGTCGTCGACATACACGAGGACGTAGAACGGCGGCAGCGAGGTGTTGGTGCGTAGAAACAGCGACGGGTCAGCAGTAGGAGTAAACCCCAGAGCCGCAAGTGTAGTCCTCAGTGTGTCGTGCCACTCGCAAGGCGCCTGGCGGAGACCGTAGACTGGCCGCCGGAGGCTCCACTGAGTACCTGCAGGAAACGACCCAGTGAAGCCAGGTGGGTGGCGCAGCCAGATCTCCTCGTGCAGGCTGCCCTGCAAGAAAGCTGTGCTGAAGTCCAGAGAGTGCAACTCGTAGTCACACTGAGCAGCGACATGCAGCAACACCCGAAGAGTAGTCATCTTGGGGGTGGGGGAGAAGGTCTGGAAGTAGTCAGCCCCTTGTCGCTGACTGAAGCCTCGAGCAACGTAACGCGCCTTGAAGGCAGGCGAAGAACCCGGTGGCCGCTTCACCCTGAAAATCCACATGCCATCGACAATGTTCGCCCCAGGTGGGGGAACCTCGTCGACGTAGGTGCTTGTTGACTTCCAGGATGCCATCTCCGCATCCATGGCTGCCTGCCACTGAGAGAAGTAAGGAACCGTAATCGCCTCTGCGTAAGAGCGCGGGGTCGGGATGTCTGGTGCATCCGGGTCTCCCTCAGGGGCAAGCAGCATGGAAGCGAAACGAGGTACAGCAGCTGCAAGGCACTCAAAGTCCTCCTGCCTGTCCTCTAGGACGTCCGTGCCAAGAGCACACTCACCCCCGACGGACGGAGGACTGGCAAACGCAGACGCAGCAACAAGATCAGTGGCGTAGTCTAGTTGACAGGCAGCAGCAAAGTAAAGCAGCTCAGCAACGAGGGCAGACGCAGTAGCAGACTCAAAGGAAGGGTTAGTGACAGAAGTGACGAGGAGACGAGAGTCAGTGGGACTGGTAGCACGAGCGCGGTCAGACTCAGGGTCAGGGACCTCAGGAAGAGAGGACTCAGGAGGAGCAGGCAGAGGAACACGCAGTGGAACAGAGGAAGGACGAAGTGCCATAGCGTGCGTGCCGAGGACAGGAGGAGGACGCGAACAAGGAATGCGACGAGCAGTGCGAACAGGCGAGACAAGACTGTCAGAATAGTGAACAAAGGAATGACTGAATTAGCAAGCAGGTGGGTACAAGTAGGAAACCTAAAAGTGTTGTACCCTATATGAACTACCCCACTACAGCCTAGACAGACTATAGCATATATGTTTGACACACCCCCATAGGCAAAGTGGGGGAGAACAAGAGGTCACAAGACCGGTCAAGAAAGGCAAAGCAAGCTCAGGGTGGATCACGACGTCACCACGCATTCTGAGCACAAGCAAATGGCCACAAGGCCAGTTCACATGCAGAGTTATATAAAGGAGAACAAACAATACAGTAAACACAACCTAACAAGTGTAAGCATGCAGGTATATGTATAGAGATCACAGTACAAATAGAGTCAAGAAGTGAGCAAGTGAGGCCAAGTAGGCACAAGACCTAGCATAGTAGAAAAGCGCTGATGATCACAAGGCTGAAGTGCCTTGGTAAAGATATCAGCAGTGTTGGCCTGAGTGGCCACGTAAGCAAGACGAAGCTGGCCACGCTGCTGCAACTCTCGAGCAAGGAAGTAGCAATGTGCTTCGTTCTGTGCTCCTGACACAAGGCAAGCATGGCCTTGTTGTCGACGTACAGAACTGGAGGAGAACGAGGCGCCTCTCCCAAGTCGGTCAGCAGGTAGGTGAGCCATCGTAACTCCTGTGTAGCCATGGCTCCAGCGTAGATCTCAGCCTCACAACTGGAGCTGAGAACCGAAGACGAGCGGGTAGACCGCCAAGAGACAGAGCCGGAGCCAAGGCTGAAGGTGTAACCCTGTGACGACCGCTGCGTAGCCAAGTTGTCAACCCAGGAAGCGTGTGCGTGACCAGTGAGGACAACTCGAGCCCGTCCTCCAAGCACGAGCCCCATGCCCGACGTACTGCACAAGTAACGCAGTACCCTCTTCGCAGCATCCCAGTGCACCTTTCGGTGCCTACCAGGAGCCACGTAGCGAGCCAGAAGGCTGAGAGGGTATGCGAGGTCAGGTCGAGTGCACGTCATCAGGTACATGAGGCAGCCCACAAGCTCTGGATATGGGCCACTCGGCTCTACGGACTCGTCCGAAGGTGGAGCTGAGAGCGAGTGACCGGTAAGCAGAGGAGTGGACTGTGGCGAGGAGTACGTGAAGCTGAAGCGCTGAAGGACCTGCTGCACCATGTGTGACTGAGTCAAGGTAATGGTGCGCTGTGCTCTGTCCCGGATGATCCGCAAGCCAAGATAGCTTGTCAGCTCTCCCAGGTCTATGCACGTGTGTCTCTTCTGCAGCTCCGACTTCACGTGGGCGAGTGCCTCAGTGTCAGCAGTAGCAAAGACTAAGTCGTCTACGTACACGAGAATATAGAACGGCGGCAGAGTAGTGTCAGTGCAAAGAAACAGCGACGGGTCAGCAGTGGAAGGAGCAAACCCAAGAGCAGCAAGCGTCGTCCTGAGTGTGTCGTGCCACTCACGGGGTGCCTGGCGGAGACCGTAGAGTGGCCGCCGGAGGCTCCACTGGGTACCAGCTGGAAACGACCCAGTGAAGCCAGGTGGGCGGCGCAGCCAGATCTCCTCGTGCAGGCTGCCCTGTAGGAAGGCTGTGCTGAAGTCAAGCGAGTGGAGCTCGTAGTCACGGTGAGCAGCAACGTGCAACAGTACCCGAAGAGTGGTCATCTTTGGGGTAGGGGAGAAGGTCTGGAAGAAGTCAACTCCCTGTCGCTGACTGAAGCCACGTGCAATGTAATGCGCCTTGAAGACAGGCGGAGAACCCGGCGGCCGCTTCACCCTGAAGATCCACATGCCACTGACGATGTTTGCCCCAAGTGGGGGAACCTCGTCGACGTAGGTGCCTGTGGACTTCCAAGAAGCCATCTCGGCTTCCATGGCTGCCTGCCACTGAGAGGAGTAGGGACCCTCTATCGCCTCTGCGTAAGAGTGCGGGGTCGGGATGTCTGGTGCATCCGGGTCTCCCTCAGGGGCAAGCAGCATGGACACGAGATGAGGCACAGCAGCGGCAAAGCACTCAAACTCCTCCTGTCTATCCTCAAGAACGTCCGTGCCAAGAGCACACTCACCCCCAACGGACGGAGGACAGACAGACGCAGACTCACCAACAAGACTAGTGGCGTAGTCTAGGCGACAGGCTGCAGCAAAGTCAACAAGCTCAGCAACGAGAGCAGACGCAGCAGTGGACTCAAACAAAGGGTCAGTGACAGCAGTGGCCAGGAAGCGCGTGACAGTAGGACTAGCAGCACGAAGGGAGTCAGACTCCGGGTCCGGACCGTCAGGAAGAGAGGACGCAGGAGGAGAGGCCAGAGGGACACGCTGTGGAGCAGTGGAAGGACGCAGTGTCATAGAGTGAGTGCCAGGGACAGGAGGAGGACGTGGACGAAAAACACGACCAGCGCGAGCAGTGCGGACAGGCGACGCAGCACGAGACACAGGCTACACAGGACGCGACTCAGGCTCACGACGCTCCGTAAGACCTCTAGTCGGTCCAGAGTAAGGAGAAGGACCAGGCAGTGGAGAGGACGGCTGTAACGGCGACTGTGACTGGACAGGCGGTGGACTCAGTAACGGAGGATTAGGACCAGGAGAAGGCGGTAGACCAAGAACCTGCTGAAGGAGCGGAACGTAGTACAGCCGCGGCCGTGCAGCGCCTTCAGAAACAGCAGAGACAGCACCCGTACCACCTCCAGCAGCTCCAGCACTAGTAGCACCTCCAGTAGCTCCAGCACCAGCAGCACCTCCAGCAGCTCCAGCACCAGCAGCACCTCCATTAGCTCCAGCACCAGCAGCACCTCCAGCAGCTCCAGCACCAGCAGCACCTCCAGCAGCTCCAGCACCAGCAGCACCTCCAGCAGCTCCAGCACCAGAAGCACCTCGAGCAGCTCCAGCACCAGCAGCACCTCCAGCAGCTCCAGCACCAGCAGCACCTCCAGCAGCTCCAGCACCAGCAGCACCTCCAGCAGCACCAGCACCAGCAGCTCCAGTACGAACGCCTCCAGGACCAGTGGCACCAGCACCAGTAGCACTAGTAGCACGGCGAAAGAGTCGAGCGTACCACTCACGAAGCCGCTGCGGAGAGAGGGGCTCCCGCCGCAACGGGACACCCGGAGAACCTCCAGACTCAGCACACGCAGGCTCAGCACCCCAAGACGCAGCACCCCCAGAGTCAGCACCCCCATGCTCCACACGCTCAGGCTCAGCAACCCCAGGCTCAGCACCCCCAGTCCCCGCACCCGCAGGCTCATCACCCCTAGCAGCACCTGAGTCGACAGCTACCTCGACCGGCTTGGCAGGGTCTACCTGAGACACACCTGAGGGGGCAGGACCCTGAGGGGGGAGGGGGTCTACCGGAGGAGTACTTGGTACTAGGAAGAGTGGCGGGGGGGGGAGAGAGGCAGCGCGGTAGGGAAAGAGACAGTAGTAAGACACCGACTCGTCAAATGTGACGTCCTGAGAGGACAGAACACGACGCGAGGTGGGGTGGTAGAACTGCCACCCGGGTGCGTCAGGGGGGGGAAGCCAAGGAAGACACAGGGAACGGCACGGGAGGACAGCTTGTCCGCTGAAGTATCGCGGACAAAAGCTCGAGATCCCCAGACACGGAACGCAGACGCATCGCCAACCTTCCCTGTCCACCTCAGAGTAGGTGTGGTCTCCGGCAAGGAGACACGAGGCTGAAGGTTGATCTGATGCGCCGCGTACTGAACCGCGAACGGCCACAGAAAATGGGGAGCAGCCGCATGGATCATGGACGTACGAGCGACGTCCATGACCATGCCAATGCGGCGCTCAGCAATCCCATTTTGCTGTGGGGAGGCCGGAAGCGTGAACGTCTGGCGGATGCCCTCCGCACGACAGAAGGCCCTCAGGAGGTCGGAGGAAAACTCACCACCTCTGTCTGAGTGCAGACGCAGAACAGGAAGGTCCGACCCGAAACTCTCGCTGAGCTAGCGATGGGCACCGCGGATCTAGTCGATCGACACCTCAGTGACGTCACCCTTGCTGCGCAAGGGGAAGACTGAGGTGTAACGCGAGTAGTCGTCAACGACCAGCAGGAAGTAACGCTCGTGACCCTGTCCACGGACGCGGGCTGGGCCCCACACGTCCATGTGAAGAGTCTGCAGGGGAGCCTCGGTCGGAGGGAACGAGGAGGAGTGAGGAGCGGCGCGCTGCCGGCCCTCGACACAGGGAACACAAGTGGGGGCAGGCCCCGGAGGAAGGGAGGAAGGCACCGGGGGAGACCCGAGACAAGGATACGGGAGGCCATGCCGCGAAGACGAGGCAGGGAGGGGTGACCAAGGCGGTGATGCCACTGGAGAGTCTCGTGAGTAAGAGGACGACACGAGCAGGGGGCAGACGCAGGACTAGACCTGGACGCAGCAGCAAACACTTGACTAGACGCGGCTACCTGACCAGACGCAGAGACCGGAGGGGGCGCAGTAGTCAGTGTGTAGAGACTTGACCCAGGCAGACGGGTGAACGTGGCCAGGTGGCGGCCCGTCCGAGAGCAAGTGCAGTGGGTCACACGCTGACCTCCAGGGGCGAACTAGTCAACCCACGCGTCCTGGAGGTCAGCTCCACTCACCAGGTTCGTAGAGAACGAGGGGAGGTGGAGTCCCGACAGCAAGCCTAACGGGGCCGCAGGACGGTAGAACCGTGGAAGAGTGTGCAAGGACTGGGCCCCCTGACGGGTCAGCCAGGGAGACTGCTACAGGCCGACTGAGCGGCGTGAGCGTGGTGCTGTCTCTAAAGAAAGAGCACAAAGCACCAGAGTCAAGTGTGAAAGTGTGCAAGGCCTCAGTAGGTGCAGTACCAGAGAGAGCAGACTCACCAGTACCTGGAGCAGCAGACGCACTAGCACCTAGAGCAGCAGCCGCAATGCCCGGGTCGGGCGGGACACTCAGGTAACAGTCACCCTCAGCACTATCAGTCAAAGCATACATGGCAGCAAGGATAGCATCGAAATCAAGATGAAAGATAGCAACATTCTGCCTAAGCAGATCACCCCAGCGAGGGAGCTCAACAGCGTCAGGAAACTGGGCGCGCCAGGCGTCAGTCAGGCGACCGAAGCAGCGCTGCGCAGTGTGGGACAGCCCGCACGTCTCCCCACGACGACTGCCGGTGCGAAGAACGTAAGTGCAGGGACCAGCACCCCCAGACCTCCCACGCCCAGCGTACCACTCACAAAGCTGCTGGGCCGACGGGGTCTCACGGGAACGCGGCTGCTGCTGGCGCTGGCTACCACCAAAGCCTCCACGCTGCGCGGCTGCACCTCGACCAGCACCACCGCCACCGCCACCCCCGCCACCGCTGCCGCTGCCTCCACCACCGCTGCCGCTGCCTCCACCATCTCCGCCGCTGCCTCCACCACCGCCACCGCCGCCACTGAAGCCCCCACTCCCGGCACCACCCCCACCCCCACCGCCACCCCCTCCGCCTCCTCCACCGCCTCCGCCGCCGCCCCCTCCGTCCGCCCCACCACCCTTGCTCCCCTTGCCCTTGCTGTTGCGGCGTCTCCCACTAGGGGCAGACGCAGCGCCAACCTCCTCAGTGCCAACGAGGTCGACAGCAGCAGCAGAAGCGACAGAGGGGAGAAGGGGGACAGGGGAACACCCCTCAAAGAAAGGGGTGCGACAGTTGCCGCGAGAAGCACCTACAGCTAAGATACTCTTCTCAGCTGCAGCTAGGCGCTCCTCTAGCAGGTCGACAGTGAGCTCGGTGGGGCAAAGGGAGAGAAAGTGGTCCCTGACTGAAGAAAGGGAGTCAGGGAGGCGGGTGACTAGGTAGTAAAGGGCGATGTACATGGGAGGGGGGGTTCTTGGCACAGAAATCAGTGGGAAGGGCAGCGCAGTAGCGGGCGTCACTAGTGCGGAGGTGAGTAATGAGGTCAGCGACTGTGGCAAAGGCGGCAAGGTCAGGGAAAAGGTACGGCAGCATGAGGCGGCTGAGGGCAGCAGTGGCAGGGGAGGAGTAGCACGCAACTACAGCGTCGTACAAAGACAGAGCAGTCTTGTACTGGCCAAAATGCGCGCGCTCAGCAGGCGGCAGGTGACTACGAACAGCAAGACGAGCAACAGCGTCACGAGTGGTCCACTGCGAGCGAACCGTACTGTCAGCAGTGGCAGCAGGAGCAATAGAGACACCGGACGTGTGATCGAAAAGGGATACCCCATCTCTAGAGTCACACTGAAGAAAGAGCTGCAGGTCGTCAACCCACACGTCAAAGTCAACTGCACGCCCCTCAGCATCAAAGGTGAGAACAGTAGGGCTAGCCATAGCAGCAGTATGAGCAGTAGCAGCAGTAGCAGCAATAGTAGTAGCAGCAGTAGTAGCAGCAGAGGCAGTAGGGCAGTGCAGGGCAATGCGGCTCGGTAGGGCGGCGCGGCTCGGCAGAGCGGCGCGGCTCAGTGGGTAGCGCAGCTCGGCTGGGCGACGCGGCTCGGCTGGGCGGCGCGGCTCGGCAGCTGGCGGCGCGGCGCAGCAGGGCGGCGCGGGTGCTTACCAGGGGCGGGTGCAGGGCCGGGCCGTGACAGCAGGGGCCGCGCCAGTAGGGGTGGCGACAGCAGGGGGGGGCGGCGACTGCATGGGGGGGCGGCGACTGCAGGGGGGGGCCGCTCCAGTAGGGGCCGCGCCAGGAGGGGCCGCGCCAGTAGGGGGCCGGGCCGCGCCAGTAGGGGCCGCAATAGTAGGGGCCGCGCCAGGAGGGGCCGCGCCAGGAGGGGGGGGGGGGGGGGGGGGGCGCGTCAGCAGGGGCCGCGCCAGCAGGGGGGCCGCGTCAGTAGGGGGCCGGGTCGTGACAGTAGGGGCCGCGCCAGTAGGGGTGGCGACAGCAGGGGGGGGGGGGGGGGGGGGGGGGGGGCGCGACTGCAGGGGCCGCGCCAGTAGGGGCCGCGCCAGGAGGGGGCCGCGTCAGCAGGGGCCGGGCCGTTAGCGACAGCAGGGGGGGGCCGCGACTCTAGGGGCCGCACCAGCAGGGGGGCGCGTCAGCAGGGGCCCGGCCGTTAGGGGTGGCGACTGCAGGGGGGGCCGCGATTGCAGGGGGGGGCCGCGTCAGTAGGGGCCGCGCCAGCAAGGGGCCGCGTCAGCAGTAGGGGCCACGATGGGCTAGGGCCGTGACGGCAGTAGGGGCCGCGTCGGCAGTAGGGGCCGCGACGGCAGGCGGGATCGCGACGGCAGTAGGGGCCACGACAGGCAGTAGGGGCCACGACGGGCTAGGGGCCGCGACGGGCTAGGGGCCGCGACAGGCTAGGGGTCGCGATGGGCTAGGGGCCGCGACAGTCTAGGGGCCGCGACGGGCTAGGGGCCGCGACGGGCTAGGGGCCGCGACAGGCAGTAGGGGCCGCGACGGGCTAGGGGCCGCGACAGGCAGTAGGGGCCGCAACGGGCGTTAAAGGGGCCACGACGGGCAGGGCGCGATGCGCGCTTCCGGCAGGGCAGGAAAATTTTTGAGGTGGGCCCTTCAAAAAAAAAAAACGTTCCCACTAGGGAACCTGCTCAGAATACCATGTTAGAATATGAGAGAATGGAATGAATGAACTAGGAAGCAGGTGGGTACAAGTAGGAAACCTAAAAGTGTTGTACCTTATAAGAACTACCCCACTACAGCCTAAACAGACTATAGCATATATAAGTTTGACAGCAGGGAACGGCACGGGAGGACAGCTTGTCCGCGGAAGTATCGCGGACAAAAGCTCGAGATCCCCAGACACGGAACACAGACGCATCGCCAACCTTCCCCGTCCACCGCAGAGTAGGTGTGGTCTCCGGCAAGGAGACACGAGGCTGAAGGTTGATCTGATGCACAGCGTACTGAACCGCGAACGGCCACAGAAAATGGGGAGCAGCCGCATGGATCATGGACGTACGAGCGACGTCCATGACCATGCCAATGCGGCGCTCAGCAATCCCATTTTGCTGTGGGGAGGCCGGAAGCATGAACGTCTGGTGGATGCCCTCCGCACGACAGAAAGCCCTCAGAAGGTCGGAGGAAAACTCACCACCTCTGTCTGAGTGCAGACGCAGAACAGGAAGGTCCGAGCCGAAACTCTCGCTGAGCTGGCGACGGGCACCGCGGATCCAGTCGATCAACACCTCAGTGACCTCACCCTTGCGGCGCAAGGGGAAGACTGTGGTGTAACGCGAGTAGTCGTCAACGACCAGCAGGAAGTAACGCTCGTGACCCTGTCCACTGACGCGGGCTGGGCCCCACACGTCCATGTGGAGAGTCTGCAGGGGAGCCTCTGTCGGAGGGAACGAGGAGGAGTGAGGAGCGGCGCGCTGCCGGCCCTCGACACAAGGAACACAGGTAGGGGCAGGCCCCGGAGGAAGGGGAGGGAGGTACCTGGGGAGACCAGAGACAAGGGTACAGGAGGCCATACCTCGAAGACGAGGCAGGGAGGGGTGACCAAGGCGGTGGTGCCAAAGGAGAGTCTCGTGTGACAGAGGACGACACGAGCAGGGGGCAAACGCTGGACTAGACCTGGACGCGGCAGCTAACACCTGACCAGACGCGGCTACCTGACCTGACGCAGTAACCGGAGGAGACGCAGTAGTCAGTGTGTACAGACTCGACCCAGGCCGACGGGTGAACGTGGCCAGGTGGCGGCCCGTCCGAGAGCAAGTGCAGTGGGTCACACGCTGACCTCCAGGGGTGAACTGGTCAACCCACAAGTCTTGAAGGTCAGCTCCACTCACCAAGTTCGTAGAGAACGAGGGGAGGTGGAGTCCCGACAGCAAGCCCGACGGGGCCGCAGGACATGGTAGAACCGTGGAAGAGTGTGCAAGGACTGGGCCCCCAGAGGGGTCAGCCAGGGAGACTGTGACAGGCCGAGTGAGCGGTGTGAGTGTGGTGCTGTCGCGAAAGAAGGAGCGCGACGCACCAGAGTCAAGTGTGAAAGTGTGCAAGGACTCAGTAGGTGCAGTACCAGAGAGAGCAGACTCACCAGCACCTGGAGCAGCAGACTCACTAGTACCTCGAGCTGCAGACTCACTAGTACCTGGAGCAGCAGACGCACTAGCACCTAGAGCAGCAGCGTCAATGCCCGGGTCAGGCGGAACACACAGGTAACAGTCACCCTCAGCACTATCAGTCACAGCATACATGGCAGCAAGGATAGCATCGAAATCAAGATCAAAGATAGCAACATTCTGCTTAAGCAGATCACCCCAGCGAGGGAGCTCAACAGCGTCAGGAAACTGGGCGCGCCAGGCGTCAGTCAGGCGACCGAAGCAGCGCTGCGCAGTGTGGGACAGCCCGCACGTCTCCCCACGACGACTGCCGGTGCGAAGAACGTAAGTGCAGGGACCAGCACCCCCAGACCTCCCACGCCCAGCGTACCACTCACAAAGCTGCTAGGCCGACGGGGTCTCACGGGAACGCGGCTGCTGCTGGCGCTGGCTACCACAAAAGCCTCCACGCTGCGCGGCTGCACCTTGACCAGCACCACCGCCACCGCCACCCCTGCCACCACTGCCGCTGCCTCCACCACCGCTGCCGCTGCCTCCACCATCTCCGCCGCTGCCTCCACCACTGCCACCGCCGCCACTGAAGCCCCCACTCCCGGCACCACCCCCACCCCCACCGCCACCCCCTCCGCCTCCTCCACCGCCTCCGCCGCCGCCCCCTCCGTCCGCCCCACCACCCTTGCTCCCCTTGCCCTTGCTGTTGCGGCGTCTCCCACTAGGGGCAGACGCAGCGCCAACCTCCTCAGTGCCAACGAGGTCGACAGCAGCAGCAGAAGCGACAGAGGGGAGAAGGGGGACAGGGGAACACCCCTCAAAGAAAGGGGCGCGAGGGTCGCCGCGAGAAGCACCTACAGCAACGATACTCTTCTCAGCTGCAGTGAGGCGCTCCTCTAGCAGGTCGACGGTGAGCTCGGTGGGGCAAAGGGAGAGAAAGTGGTCCCTGACTGAAGCAAGGGAGTCAGGGAGGCGGGTGACTAGGTAGTAAAGGGTGATGTACATGGGGGGAGGGTTCTTGGCACAGAACTCAGTGGGAAGCGCAGCGCGGTAGCGGGCGTCACTAGTGCGGAGGTGAGTAATGAGGTCAGCGACTGTGGCAAAGGCGGCAAGGTCAGAGAACAGGTACGGCAGCATGAGGCGGCTGAGGGCAGCAGTGGCAGGGGAGGAGTAGCGCGCTACGACAGCGTCATACAAAGACTTAGCAGTCTTGTACTGGCCAAAGTGCGCACGCTCAGAAGACGGCAGGTGACTACGAACAGCAAGGCGAGCAACAGCGTCACGCGAGCGAACCGTACTGTCAGCAGTGGCAGCAGGTGCATGAGAGACACCGGACGTGTGATCGAAAAGGGATACTCCGTCCTGAGAGTCACACTGAAGAAAGAGCTGCAGGTCGTCAACCCACACGTCAAAGTCAACCACACGCCCCTCAGCATCAAAGGTAAGAACAGTAGGGCTAGCCATAGCGGCAGTAGCAGCAGTAACAGCAGTGGCAGCAGAAACAGCAGTAGTAGCAGGAGCAGCGCGGGCAGGGCAGTGCGGCTCAGTAGGACGGCGCGGCTAGGCAGGGCGGCGCGGCTCGGTAGGGCAGCGCGGCTCAGCTGGGCGGCGCGGCTCGGCTCCTGGCGGCGCGGCGGGGCAGGGCGGCGCGGCTCGGAGGAGCGGCGCGGCTCGGCTGGGCGGCGCGGGTGCTTACCAAGGGCGGGTGCAGGGCCGCGACTGTGGCGGCAGCAGGGCAGGGCCGCCACTTGGCGGCGTCACCGCAGGGCCGCGACAGGGCGGCAGCATGGCAGGGCCGCGACAGGGGCGGCAGCAGGGCAGGGCCGCCACTTGGCGGCGTCAGCGCAGGGCCGCGACAGGGCGGCAGCAGGGCAGGGCCGCGGGTGGACGGCAGGGTAGGGCAGGGCCGCTACGGGCCGTCAGGGCAGGGCCGCGACGAGTAGCGGCAGGGCAGAGGCCGCGGGTGGCGGCAGGGCAGGGCCGTGACGGGCCGAGAGGGCAGGGGGCCGCGACGGGCCGAGAAGGCAGGGGGCCGCGACGGGCCGTTTGGGTAGGGGGCCGCGACGGGCCGAGAAGGCAGGGCCGCGACGGGCGGCTCTAAAGCAGGGCGCGCGACGGCGCAGGTGAGGCAGGCGCGAGGCGCGCTTCGGGCAGGGAAGGAAAAAAAAAATCGTGGTGGGCCCTAAAAAAACGTTCCCACGAGGGAACCTGCTTAGAATACCATGTCAGAGTAATGAACGAAGGAATAACTGAATTAGCAAGCAGGTGGGTACAAGTAGGAAACCTTAACGTGTTGTACCCTATATGAACTACCCCAC